TTTGATAATTGTAATATGTGATTATGTTGAGGTAGTAAGAGAATGTAGAAATTAATATATAGTGAGTTTAGTGTATTTAATAATAATACTGATGAAAAATAATTTATTTTAGTGAAATTTTAATATTTTAAATATCATTTAACTATTTTTATTGATATGTCAAATTAGTTGAAAAGAAAAATGACAATAAAATTTTCTTGAATTATATAAATACTTCCCTCAAAATATTATAATTTCATTAAAATCTTTAAATAATTCTATGTCAATAAATTTTAAAATGAAAAGATTATTTTACCCTTATTGAAAATAACAAACTCCAATCACAACTTTTATTTAAGGAATAACAACTTTTGTCCTATGAATATCAAGAATTAAAGAAGAAATTATTACTTGTCAAATGTACTTTTTGTTATTAAAAAATAAATTCTCAAAATAACAAGCTTTAATCAAAACTTTTTCTTAAGAAGTAACGACTATTATTTTGTAAATTATAAGAGTTGAACAAAAAAGTTACAACTTGTTAAGTGTAATTTTTATTATTAAAAAATAAATTCTTAAAATAACAAGTTCCAACCATAATTTTTATTTAAAAAATAATAACTTTTATGCAAAGAATTGTAAGAATTAAACACGAAATCACAAGTTGACACGTTTTTTTAATTTAAAATTTATTAGCACATAAATTCTTAAAAATTTTAGTAAAATTATAACATTTTAAGAAACCAGATTGTCATATATATAATTCAAGAAAATTTTATTATCATTTTTCTTGCTTGTTAAAAGAGACTGTTTTAAGATGTGATAGATTATTTTGCTAAAAAAAAGGAAAAAATGATAATTGAAGACTTTGTAACAAAATTAATGTAAAATAAAGACCTTTGTGATAGATTATTTAAAAAGGAAAAAAAATCTTTCTGTCCAAAGAAACCTTATTGATAAGCGTTGATGATGCCCCACCCTATATTGTAATATCATTCTCCTTCTAATCTCATAACTACTCTAACTCCCAAGTAAATAGAAAATGGGATTATAGTGATTAACATAATACCAAATTTCAATAGTTAGCAAAATAAGGATCCCAAGGTTACAAAACTAAAATCATGTTCAAAGTTATACAATTAGATAAATCAAAGTTTCATAAATATGCAGAAGTATGGGATCATTACATAAGTGAGTGTATTTGTTTAAAAATTTAAAACAAGAAAAAATTTTGAAAAAATTTTGGTGCGTGTGTTGCAGCTCATCGAACATGCACCGCGACGTATTCGCCTCTGCAACACACACTGCGGCTCATGGTACCATGCGCTGCAGCACAATTGTATAAATTTTGATAGTAAATTCTGCTATCAATTTGACAGCATTAAGGGCAACTTTCAATGTGTCCCAAATTTTCATCCAACATTTGATTGACATGAACTATATGTCTACAAAAAGTTCTTTCTGAGCTCTAACTAATGGCGTTGGTTTCAGACTTAAATTCTTTTTAAATTAAAAATTGAACACACTTTTCAAAACTTACACTTTTTCAACAATTTTCACAAAAAACTAAGTGGCCAAATCATTTACAAAAAGCCAATAACCATTGATACTAATTTGACCACATGTAAATCATTAAGACTAACTCGTGCAATACACCATGTCACATGAAATACTCACAAATCAAATTTTCATTACTCAACCCTTTAATCTCAAAAACATAATAGGGGGAGTTTATGATAATTTTCATCAAGTACTCTATAATCATCTCATAATATGCTCTACTCTTACTTACATTAGTATTTTAACCTTATCACAAATAACATATATCATCAACTCACTCCTTAAGGCCTAAAATATACTTACAATTTACAATTCACATAATGCAAGTAAGGATCAAATGAGAATTCCTATTGAAAATTAAAATTATCATACACATATAAATACTTAAAATAAAGAAGCCTACTATAATAGGATCGTGGTCCTAAGCCTCTGCATATTCTCCTCTATCCGTACCTCTTAAGCTAGTCCTTATAGTATTGAAGATAATGGGGTGAGTACAAACACTCAGTAACTAAGGTCCGACTAACCCATACTAATGCATGTCAATTAGTTTAAAATGCAAGTGGCATATAATTAATTATTTAAACCAGGTAAAACATTTAAAAATATACATCCACATTTTCAAGCATAATAGAAAATTGGGAAAATAATGCTTTTAGCAATTTACATATGAAGAGAGTTGGTCACATAAGTCATTGACAAGTAATCAGAAGTAATTAAGACTCAACTTATGATTATCGTTATTAGGGTCACTATACAGACAACCATGTGCCCTTACTCATTATATACATGATCACACCTCTCTTATATCCTCCTTATTCCTCTGATATGAAATCATAGGTTATAAGACAATAGGATAGTATATATTCCATGACTTTCCTAGCCTAAACATTTGTGAAGGGATTACTCGGCCAAGTGCACCCAACTCACTTATGAAACACGATTTTTCCTATATCTCACATTATGGGGTGTCATACACCCTAGACTAGCTTTCTCATTGAACCAGTGGATAGCTAGCTAGGTTCAAGTTTTTCATTAAACCAGTGGGATAGTCTCTTATTGAATAAGTGGGACAATATAGATATAATCAATCCAACAAATCATCAACAGATGGGGTCTTATCACGTGGATTTTGTCATCTACTCCTCTTCCTAGGTGAATTTCCCTCTCAAGATCATGTAATGCATATTCATACAATAATTCACATTTTATACAATTTATAAAATTTCACATAATCAATTTCATTGAACTTTATCATTACGCAAATTATTAGATTTCTTAAATACATTTTCATGGAACCTCAAACCAAATAAGTCATTGAACTCGAATTTCACAATTATTGTACCTCACGCTTTCAAAATCATTGAACTCTACTATTTCAAACAGTATTGAACTTCTCATAAACAAAGATTCATGTTACTTTTCAAATCAAAAAGTCATTGAACTCCCATTTCATAATACAAAAATTCACTAATATTGTTCGCAAAGAATTTCACATCACAAGGTATAAAACTCACAAAATTAATCTAGTGGATTTTCTAACAAATCAAGCCACACTTGTATTTTATTTTAATTTACACATTTTCATGATCAATTATAAATCATAAACTAATAAATGCACAAAAGCATAAGATAGAATTCCTCTAGTTACCTCAACCTTTGAGAGGTCAAAGGTTTCACCTCTTAATTTCTCACTCCTAAAGCTTTCAAGAAGCTTGAATGGTGTCAATGGTAGTTACTCTACAAGCATTTATCATGCAAAACATCAATATCCATATTTGAGCTATTTTTACTAACACTTCAATATTTCTTAATACTTAAAATTTATTCTTGACTCATGTAAAAGTACCCATAAAACTTCTTAGCTTCCTTTAACCATCATTAATAATATTGAGCTCTTAAATAGTCATTAATGAAACCATATTATTTTCAACCACCATATTTATGAGAATTGCAGATATTTAATGTCCTCCAACTACCAATCATCATAAAATCATAAATACCAAATTTACTTAACTCAATCTACTCTTATTAACTCTTTTTAAGTCAATGAGTTTGGACCCATGACCTATATAGGTCAAAAATCACCATTATCAATTAAACTCTAACTTCTACCATCAAGAAAATGGAAGAAGAGGGAAAGATTTAAGTAAAGAAGCTTACCTTTGGTGTTTATGGGCTCTAAATTACTCCTACAAGTTTTCTTCAAGCATTAGCTCAGCTCTTTTATCTTTCTCTTGATTCCCTTTGTTTTTCTTTTCTCTTTTACTTCAGTTTCACAACTTAATACAGCAAAAATCTGACCATGCGTCGTGGCGGATGCATAATGTGCTGTGGCGCATGGCACAGAGAGCTTCTCTCAAGTGTGTTGTCACATATGTGCTACAGCGGCTCATCCATAAGTCACAGCGCGTGGTAATGAATCACTTTCTTCAAAAATTCTTCTTCTTCCATTCTTGGGTGACCTGGTTCTCTTCGGATAGACATTTAGAACTGAGATCAAGACCAAACATGCTCATTAGGCCTCTCTGGCCACACATCTCACTAATATACTTAATTAATCTATTTAAGCTTAATTAATCTAATTTAAAATTGAGGATGTTACATATATGATCAAGAGTTAAATAGTAAAAATATCTTAAAATTTTTTTTAGGGACGTCGGGTATCTTAAACTTTTTTTGAAACATTTTTACCTTGAAAATTTCAAAAACAGAGCATTTTTTTTCCTACCTTTAAATATGAAAAACGTTGACTGTTAACTGAAATTAGATAACTTTAGTTTGTGATTTTTAATAGTAGGGTGAAAATGATCTCTTTTTGAAACTTCTGAGGCAAAAATGCTCTAAAAAAAGTTTGGGATATAAAGTTCCTCTGAAAAAAAAATTTTAGGACATTTTTATCATTTAACCCTATAATCAATGTAAACAATATTTGGTACATATATAAGTTAGTATTTAGATGGGTGGGATTGGATTTAAATTTTAGATTTAAAATATTCATGCATTTAAAATTTCAATTTTAAAAAATATTTTGATAAAATTATACATACTAATAAAATTTATTAAATATAATTTATAATTTTAATTTTTTATAAATTTTCAAAAATATCGTTCAAGAAAATTTATTTAAGAAATAAAATATCTCAAAAAATTGTCTAAAAATATTTTATAAATGGGAGGAGTACTTGCCAAATACACAATAACTATTTTTTCACTCATGTGAGATTATTAAAATTTCATGAGAGAGTACGCTCCCTCTCCTGGAAAAAATTAAAATATTATCATTACTTGTTTAGATTAATCTGAATTACCATATAGCATTGTTATTGCCAATTGAACCAAGCCCCTCAACTAATAATGACTCTTCATCCAAGGCTTATGAGATGAATTTCTCTTATTATATATTTTTTTGTGATATGAATTTCTCTGTTCCCTTTTTTTAATTAATATTCTTATCAGCAGTTTACGTGTCGGGCTATGAAAGCAAAGATGAATCATCACCGCCCACACATACATGGAGGTCCCACATAAAAATATGAATAAACTAAAATAAAATAAGAACAAAAATATGTCGGTCCACACGTAGTCACACAAATATCAGTCTTTCCGTTTACAGTAAATATCTTCTTCTTCTTCCACAATGACTCACTCTTCCCGAACCTTCCAGATGCCCATGGCAGCACTCCAGCTAACCACTCTCTTCTCTTTCCCTCAGATATTTTTGGTCCTTATAAAAACATACACTCATCTTCATGGCTCCTTGCTTCTTTGCTTTCTTCTGTCAATAACAACCAGGGACTTCAAGTGTCAGATTCCAAGAGCTCGGTGGCTGTTAGCTTTGTTGATGGATTTTGATGTATTTGCCGTTTAGCTGAATTGGGAGTTTTTTAGGTGAAGATAAATGGAGACTCGTAAGGTAGGGTCGTCATCGTTGTCTTACTATGCCCTTCTTGGTATTAGTTCAGATTCTTCCGGTACAGAAATAAGGAGAGCTTATCACAAGCTTGCTTTGGTTAGTGGCTTTCTCCTTTGTGTGTTTTGATTTTTCTGATTCCTTTAGGGGTTATGGATCTGGGAATTTCTGGGTTTGAATTAGGTGAGGATTACTGATCGGAGTGGAATTTATTAAATTTGATGCAGCAATGGCATCCAGATAGGTGGACAAGAACTCCTTCCTTGTTGAGTGAAGCCAAACAGAAATTTCAGCAAATTCAAGAAGCCTATTCAGGTAGCTAGGGGTTTATTTTTCTCGGTATTGATTGAGAATCACAATTCAAGAAGTTCTGGTTTTGGAATTTTTGTTTTTTTTAATATCACATTTGATATATAGCATCGTACAGTTAACTCTACGTTCTTCTTGGAGCAGTTTTATCAGACCACAAGAAAGAACGATATACGATGCAGGGCTGTATGATCCTGATGACGAAGAAGATGAGGTAATTTTCATGGAAAGCTAATAATAATTTCGATTGTACTTCATCTTCCTCGTCCTAATCAAAAGACTCGTTTGATCTCTGGTTTAGGGCTTTTCTGAGTTTATGGAAGAGATGGTGTCTCTCATGACTCAAGTGAGGAGGGAGGTATGGTTCTTCTTCTTTCTTCTTCTTCTTCTTCTTCGCTATGGGCACTTATTAGCTGACATATTTGAGAAACAAAGATTGAATCAAAAGTATTGTGCATTTAACTTGCGAACTAAGATATCTCCCAAATCAAAATCCAGTTTCTTTTCCCTGACGTGAAAAATAGATGGGGTTTGTGGAAATGGGATTCCTGAAGGAGTATGAAAACAATGGTTGCAGGAAAAGGGTTATTACAGTATGGAGGAGTTGCAGAGCCTGTTTGCTGAGATGAGTAATGAATTTAATCAGTCAGCTTCATGGCGTTTTGGGGCCTCCATTCTTGAAGATCACTGCTCTAAGAGGATCCGTTTGGACAAACAAGGCAGAATCTAACATGAAAGAATCATTGCCAGTCTTCTTCCCAGAAGAGGAGGGGAGTGATCTGGTTTGGTTGCTGATGAATTTTGCTCAAATGGGATGAACAACGTTAAGAAGAACATGTAGCTTTTGAGAGTGACTGAGAAGTCAGAATCCTGAAATGCATTGTGATTGTGCCAGTTTTGTTGTTAGAAGAGGACCAACTTTTCAATTCCGTGTTTTGGTTTGGGTTTGACAGGATGACACAACTGGGTAGTCAATTGAAAGTTGGGATTTTGGAGTGCTTGCCTGTTTTGAGTTATGTTCATTTCAAATTTTCTGATTTGGTCCACAGTGTATTGTGCGCACAAAAGGTTAAGGGGAAATATTTTTGGTTCAAAGCTTGATGTTCTTATGGAACCCTTATGTTACAATAGATTTAAGTATTGTCATGTTCCAATAGATTTAAGTATTGTCATGTTCAATTAGAAATAATTTTTTCAAAGGTATTTTATATATTCATACAAACTTGAATTCAATTGCTTTCCCAAGGATCAACATTTGTAGTTTAAAAACAACTTAAAACTGACGTATAAAAATGTAGAATTTGATTTAGAAATGAGAAAATTGATTTTTGAAATTTATGAAAAAGTTAGGAGGAATTATTTGAAATTCACACAATACATTTAAGTTCTGATTTGTGATATTTAAATATATTTTATGAGGTTTATATGTAATTTTTTCTAAAAATTAAAGATGGATTTGCCCACGTGTTGGCCCATCTTATGGTGGATTGAACTGGAAAAAAATTCAGCCCACTAGAAAGAGGGTTAAGTCATATTGCCTTATTGGCCCTGTTTTCTGGTAAGTGGGCTTGCTTAAACAATTGTACACGAAGTCGTTCATGTTTCTAAAGGCTAAAAACAATGAGAGAACGTATTCACGAATTGCAAGCCATGGCATTTAAATTTGGCTAAAAGAGCAAATAAGCTTTTAAATTATAGTTATAGAAACATCTAAGACCCTTTGAACTCTTTTTTTTTTTAAGCAATGTTTCTTTTTAACTTCTAAAAATAATGCAATTTATGTCGTTATTATTAATAAAAATTAACTTTAATTATTGGCTGATTAAAAAATGATAAAAAATATCACAAAAAAGATAAAAATTATAGTAAATTATTCAAAAATTACAAACAGTGACCCTGAAGCTGCCCAAAAAATTTTATCGTTCATCTCATTTTTTGTTGTTTGTTTTTGTCTTTTTGTTAATCTTAAACTCAAAATGGACAGCAATATAATTGTTAAAACTTAAAAATAAAGAATTATTTAATTTATCAGCTACGAGAGACATGAGCCAAAAAGCTTAGCTGTAAAATCATTAAAATATTATGGTGTTTGCTTCATGCCTTCATCATTGGATATATGATTAAACAAAAAAATAAAATGGAACAGAAAGAGAGTGATTCCTTACAAGTATGGAAAAGCTCCCAAAAAGGACTATTTATTAAATTTAAAATTAAAAAATGGTGTCATTTAATTTATTTGCCAATAAGGAATTTGGACCCAAAAGATCAAAAGGAGGATTCTCACATCACAAAGATGCCTTAAGAAATGGGACGGTGGGGGACCAATTCCTTTCATTTTTCTTTTTCTCTCTTCCTTTTCTTAGATGCCAAACACTTTTGTTTACAAATGTATTCGCTTTATTGATCTCTCCACTAGTTTGCAGATTTTTCACAACTCAACAAACACAACATTCTTTTATAAACATATTCAACAGCCCATGACGAAGACTTGCTAACAGTCTTCATTGAATATGATTGCCATGTAAATCCAAAGTTACCCATTTTTTTAATTAATCGTTTGCCTTTTAGTGGTAGCCAAACTCAACCAAGAATTAAGGTACCAATTTTTAATCCAATTGATGGGTCTAATTCAAACATGGCAATATTAGTTGAAACAATTTCCGGTCAACTTTCAAGGTTCAACTTACTTATTTTTTTTTTTTTTGCCAAAAACTTATTGTTTGGTGCAATTGATTTGACCCATAATTTAATTACAAGGTCATAAGTTCAAATTATATGTTGATGTGAGGATTTTGTTAGTGAATGATCGATAAAAGCATTTTTTTTAGCTCTAGTAAATTCTTGAAACTTAATTCACTTAAATTTTTTTATAAAAAATTATTTAATTTTTAATTTCGTTATAACAAGTTAAAATTTCATGAGGAAGAAAATTGGAGGTTTGAAGTAGTATTGATGCTTGAAAACTAAAAAAAAAAAAAACAGAGAGGGTTGAGAAGAAGAAATAAAGGAAAAAGATAAATAATTATTGGAGAAAGGAGTTGGAAAGTGCAATAAGAAAGTGGGGTGTGGATTAAGATGGCTCGAAAGGTACACAAGTCCAAGAGGATAGTGACCTATAACTCCTTTAATTGAAGGGTATGTATGAGTCTTACAAAGAGAAGGTATGTGTATATGAAATGCAATTATGCGTGCATGTGCCCTTCATTCTTGTCATTATTATTATATACATAGAATCAGATGCATGTGGACAATATTAATATTTAACCCCACTTATTGTCCCCTTTTTTTCTGTTTAATTTTAACTGGCAATACTTCTTTTTATGATAATGCTATTGCAACTAATAGTGGTAGCGGTTGGGCTATATTGAAAACAGTTGGTCATTCTTAAACAAGACTAATGATCCGAACCTTGTAAATAAAAAATTAAACATTATTTTTAGTTAAACCCGATAATATTCAAATTTGATAGAATGCTAGTACTGTATGCCAATACACACACACACACACACACACAACCTTTGAAATTAGGGAGAATTCGAAGATTTAAAAAAAAAAAGTGAGAGAAGACTTGTCAATGATTAGCTAATTTTGTTGGAAGGAGGGGATGGATCATGTGGCAACATGTAGAATACCCACAAGAGAAGGTCTTGTCATGTGAAGCAATAATAAAACCTTCACCACACAAAATGTCTTATACTCTGTTTTTTCACAAATTAATTAATTAATGTCTTGAAAAAGATCTAAATACTTTGTTTTTGCTATTAGGATTGGCTTTTTTCCCCCTTTTGCAAGCTATGCTTATGATTTACGATTGATCTCTCACTTTCAATCCTAAACTAATTTTTGTCGGTGATGGTGCTGATCATTACATGTATTACTTCCACTTTAAGCTTCTTCACAACTAAAGCATAAACATATAGACATGCAAGATCATGGATTGTTAATCTACTATTAAACCCACTTGTAAATAACATATTAAATTATCTTAAAATTCTTTTAAAGAACTAAAGATAATAATAAAATTATATTTTCCTTATATTTTGAATCAAACAGAGTTTGTAAAAGATGTTTTAATATATTATTTAAAAGATGTTTTATATTATTATTTGAAGGGGCTATTAAATGAGCGTAGAAGAGTAAAATAAATATTATTAACACTATATTGTTCCAACTTTTCCATCATAATTTCCCCCAGCAAAGCTCATTAAATGCAAAATTAACAAACCTAACTGTAATCTTTAAATCATCCAACTACCATAATATTTTCACCATGTGGATTGTCCCCTCGGAATTTTGCGTGTGTGGAGCATATGCATCTTGACTCTTGAGTCTCCTCATGTTTAGCTGAAGGACACTTGGACTTGGACTAATCCGGAAGGAATCACAATGGATCAATGGGGACCGGCTGAAGTTTATGGTCTTTCTCCTTTATTATATATTCCTTCAATTTCAAATCATAAAACAGCTTTACAGAGTTTTTATTATTTCAAAATATAAGATAATTTTAAAAATTTTTTATTAATTATGCTTTTCAATGTTACTTTTTAAATGGATAGAGAATAGTAATAATATTATAATATAATGATTAAATATGTACTCCCTCTGTTTTTTTTTACAGGAAAAACTAACACTTTTAACTTTTTTTTATATAAGAAAATAACATTTTTCAACAAATATTTATTGCAAACTTTTTAAATTATCCTTCATAATTTTATCATTTATAATTATAAAAAATAATTAATGAAGACTTAATTAACACAATTAATTAAGAGTATTGTAGTGCAATTATTTTATTTTTTAACAAAATTAATATAGTTAATTAATTTTTTTAAAATGTGTGATATAATTTTTTCTCTTACAAATAAAAACAGAAAAAATAGTTCATAGTTTTGTTTTTGAAAAAATAAAATTGTAAAATATCATAGTCTTAAGTCTTATTAGTATGTATAATTGTATCTCAAATAATCTTATTAATACTACTGGACTTAAATTCAAAGCTTTTAGTTAAGCTATTATAACTCTCCTTCGCAGTTGAACCAAGATTCCGGTATTGTTTCGTCGAAATTTCTCATGACAATATTTGAGCAGTAAAAGATAGAACCAACCTTAACTCGAAAGGCATTTCGCTCTTTTTAAAGTTCCCATGCACCACAAGTAACGTGTGAAATCCTTCACCCTCCTCCACTTTGATCTCTCTCTCTCTCTCTCTCTCTCTCTCTCTCTCTCTAAAACCAGACTCATCACATTACAGCTCGCACCCACATCATCTGAGTTTTTCAATTCTTCATAGTCTTCATTCTCAGCATCAAATTAAATTTTCCATGGCTCTCAATTTGATCCTCCTACTCCTTCTGTGTCTCATTGTTCCTCTCCAAGGCTTGGATTCTTCAAGGAAGCTGGATGAAACCACCGTGCCGCCCGGCGATCAGAAATGCTCGCCCTGTGGTGACACTGTTTATAGCTCTCCACCACCACCACCTCCGCCATGTCCTCCGCCACCTTCCCCGAAGAAATCACCTTCACAGTACTGTCCGCCGCCGCCTTCTTTCATCTACATAACCGGTCCTCCGGGGAATCTGTATCCGTTGGATGAGAACTTCAACAGCGCAGGTCGCCGGAGTTTTACGGCGGCGGCCGCCTTATTGCCCGGGTTGTTGATCTGGTTCCTGGGTTTGTGGTGATTTTCGAGGTATGTGATATGAGATCATTCTCAAGGCAATATATGGAAGAGGTTCATGAAAAATATGGTTTATAATTACATGTATTCAAGATTCAATTCTCCTAGATAAGGACATGGAGAATTTTGTTGCTTTCTTCAGTTTTCTCACCTTTTTGTGATCCCAATGTCTCCAATAACGATCTTTTTGTAATTTTCTGTCGAACATGTTGTAACAAGCTATGAATGCTTTTTTATCTTTTCATTTTTCGCAATTATTTTCGGGGTCTTTTCTATAATTTTTTATGTCTTATATTATTCTTGGATCAAATTTTGGCGTTCATCCAAGATCTAAAATTGGGCGTAAAAAGTGATGGAAATGGACTCCTCCACATCACACACTTAAGTTTTTAATGATTAGTATTGATATATTATTATTAAAATAAATTTAAATATAACCATTGAACAAATTAAAATGGATTCAGGCCAAACAAATTGATAAGAAAAACTATTAAAGGGATTTAATTGGTAATAATTAATGATAAATAATAATATATTTTAATCCATATATTTATTAAATTTATAAAAATCACGAAGTTATGAACAAGTTGAATTATTTTAAAAAATTCCATACGAAGTACAAACTTACAGACAAGGATCGTCCAATAATGTTAAGAGGGTTAGGCTGGCTCTATCAATGAGCTGCGAATAATTGTAGGAATTGTCAAATAAATAGATCAGTAATTAATGTCTTTAGCCCTCACATCTGGATTGTTCCCTCAGAATTGTGTGTGTGGAACATCCGTATATTGAGTCGAAAAACAGGAGCCTGGATTAATCCTGATGGAGCCAGGAGGGATCCTTTCGCACGAAACTTTACTACCAATATTACTGTATTTCCAGAATTCAAAATCAAGACCTCTGATTAAGCCAACATAATTCCTTTATCAATTAAACCAATAGTCTGGTAGCATTTCCAAAAAAAAATTCATCACAACTTTGAGCAATAAGAAACACAATCAGACTTAAAGGCATGTTGTTCTTTTTTTTTTTTTTTTGTCTCTATATGATTTTTTCCGTGGCCTAGTATTTTTTTTCCTTTTTAAAAAAGACATTTTGCTCTTTTTTAAAGTTCCCCTTTCTTTCATCCATATCACCGGTTCTCCCGGGAATCTGTATCCGGTGGATCAGAACTTCAACAGTGCAGCTCAAATGGCCAATGGAGTTTTGCAACGGTTGCCGTCTTATTGTCGAGCTTGTTGACTTTGCTTGCTTATGGGCTTTTGGTGATTGTTTGACATAAGATCATTCCTAAGGCAATATGTAACTAGAGATCCATGAAAATATATGGTTTATATGTGATCAAGATTCAATATTTTAGATACCGAAAAGGAAAATTTTCTTCCTTTCTTCAGTTTTCTTACCTTTTTGTGATCCTAGTGTCTCGAATAACAATCAATCTTACTGTAATTTTGTTTTTTTTTTTTTTGGGTAAAAGGGTAATTATGTTAACAATAGAAGTCTACAAAGAAAGCATTAAAACAGGTCTACTCAAATAAGAAGAAAAAGCTGGAAAAGACAAAAAAGATGGGACCACATTCTTGGGGTAACTGTTAAAAGTTTTGCAGAAGCTTTGAGATGTTTTGGTCCACAAAGCACTGTCGATTAACGCTAAAACAAAATCGCCATTTGAGCAAAATGCTCATCCCAAGAAACATCTGAAAGCCTTTGATAACGCATGAAAGTGCAATGCGATATGAGAGCATGGCCTTCTAAAATGAATGCTTAAGAGACGAATGCATTGGTCGACAGGGTTACCATCAACTCCAAAGAACTGATGCAACAATAAGCCCATCCAGGAAAATCAGACCCATCAAACTCGGGAAAATTGACGCGACTCTGTTTTATGGGAACAAAATAAAGGGCACTGGGACGCTCGAGGTAGGAGCCGAACTGGGGAATGTGAGACGGAGAACTACCCCTAGACCCAGAAGAAGTGGGACGTTTCCCATTGCCGAGATTAGAAGCAAGGAAGGCCAACTCACTAGAGAAATCAGCATGACGCCTCCTCAAGGCGAGATCCAGCTTGCTAGAGGTCAGCGATGTCATGGGCATTCGAATCCAAATGAGTAGTTGTGGATTCAAGCATAGCATTCTGAAGCTCAAGACGGTGCTCCAGATCTCCAATGCAATCGGACTAGGAATGAGTCTTCGGCAGTGCCATAGATCGGAGAGGGGCTTTGATACCCTGTGATATGAGTAGAAGAGGAATTCGACAAAAGGGAAAAGGGACAGGTACAGCAGATAAATTCTATAAGGAAATTACCATAAAGCCCTTATAAACTAATGCCATATTTCACATTAGAGTCGTTTTGTCAGGATTTTCAAATTGAAGGTCTTGGACTAATTTCATCTACAGCAATTATTGCCATGGCACAGTATTCAACTTTAACACTAGATCTTGCCGTAACATTTTATATCTTTCTTTTCCAAAAAAAAAAAAGCATGATTTCCTCCCATAATCATCCCAATTTGTGTCGGCATATCCTACTACTTGGATTTGCATGTGATCCTCATATAGTTAACCTTTGCTAGGTATCTATCTAAGGATAGATCGCACTACTTTCCAATCACTAGTGTGGTGCTTTGTAAGAATTGACTCACTACTCTCACAATCAAGGAGAGATTAGCGATTGTTAGATAATTCAACTTCCAAAACAACCCCTGGTATCTGCCAATGCACACAAAGGCTCCATCTATCCCAGTACAAAATTGATATTAGGATCCATGTAAGTGTTGAACAAGTTGACAATCTGACATATTAGTTCCTTCCAAAATATCAAAAGCATGCGTTTTTCCTTTGAGAAATTACCACCCTTGTCTTGGGTTGAGTTGCCTCACTGCCCAAGAACTTTAGCTTGCGATTTTGGTCTAAAATGATCAAGCATGTGTATTTTCAACCAATTCCTTCTAGATATGTGCAAAGATTGGGATTTTGGTGCATGTGAACAGATAGTGGTCAACCTTGCTTCTTTCTAATCCAAACTACTGAAAAATACTGCTAGAATCTTTCAAAGCAAGCCCACAGTGACCACTTGAGTCCATAAATAGAATGATATAATCTGCACACTAGTCAAACAACAAATCCAGGAGATTGCTCCATGTAGATTTCTTCCTTGAGTTTTCTGTGCAGGAAGGCATTTTTTATATCAATATAGTAAGGATGTCAGCGTTGAATAGCAGCAAAAGATAACAAGACACCAATAAATGCAATTTTAGCCACTACGAAAATATTATTTTAATCTAAGCCAAAGAGATATATGCGTAACCCTCAGTAATAAGACAAGCGTTGCAATAGTTAATGATACCATTGTAGTCCAACTTTAATAGTGTGAATCCAGTGACAACCAACAATAGATCTACTAGTGAGCATAGGATCTCAAGTACCATAAGATTTGATTGCCTCTATTTTGTCAATCATAATTTGTCTCGGTATAGGGTGAGAGAGAGCTTCTAAGAGGTCTGAGGGATAGAAACAAAGGACAAAGAGTACAAAGGCAAAATAAGGTATGATGGAAAACCATTCCAGAATTGATATTTAAACACAGAATATAATCCAGAGTTCAAGTATAATACCACAAAAAGAATCAGCCACCGGAAAAAGTTTATCTGATGTCACTACTTTAACAGCTTCCTATGAAAAATGTATTCTACTTCACTGCGAAGGCTTTCCACGTCCATCGCATAATCTCTCTGGAATTCATCCACCATCACATTAAGCAGCAACTGCTTCATTTTATTTAATGCATCACCTAAAGCACAGAAGTCTTTTAAAACCAGAGCTTCAGTGGTCTTGAGCTGCAGGAGACTCTTAATTGCAACAAGGACCTGCTTATTGCATTCGGCAAGCAATGCCAGGAGTTAAGCCAAATACACAATATAGAAAACAGGGTCAAACACTCGAACTACTGTAGGCAAGAAACATAAGGAAAACGCAGCAGGAAACTGAGAGCCTATTTGTTTTCTGTTTTTTTAAAACAGTTGTTAAATAAACACAAACAAACACATTTTCTTCTTATTTTGTTTTGCAAAACAATTTTAACAACTGTATTGAAAAACAGTTTTTTTTAAAAAAAAGAATACAAATGATATTTTGAGTTTTGAAAACAACTTGTTTATAATATCAGATGCCATGTCAACAAAGCACCTTGTCCTGGAGATCCAAATCGGTTGATGTAGCAATGAGATCAACCACAGATTTCAGCAGATCTCGATCACTTAAGAAAGGTAGTTCGCTTCTACGTGCATTTTCTAACTGAGACTGCGCTAGATCAGCCAAGAGAATCAAAGCCTTCTTCTGTAGTCTGATATCAATACTTGAATTCCTCAAAATATTCTGAAAGAATTGTCAATTTCAGTGACAATTTAAAAGACAGTAATAACAAAACTAATGTGTAGAAATAAATTTACCCCAAAAAATGACAAATAATAATGATAGAGAAAAATCAAAATATAATAGTGAAAATAATAGTAGTAATAACAATAAGAATAACCTTAGGCAGGTCACCTGAACCATCAAATCTCCATCTTCAGCAGAGAACAATTCCTGACCAGCTAAATTATTTCGGATCAAAGCTGAAACAGCATATAATGCTTTATTGGCTTCCTCTATAAAATTAGGTTTTACCATCTTCAACAGCAATGGGAGCGCCCCAAGTTCCAAGACCTGGAAGAGTAGAAATTTGGACTAATCATTATATTGTCAAGCATATCTCACTTGATTGATTATTGAAATTATTTTCCAAAAATGCCCCCAATTAAATGATCCTTAATACTTCTCTAATTTCTCTCCCATTATATTTTGACTCCCAAATTAATTAACAAAGGGCACAAACGGAAAAAAAAATTAATGCTCCAAACATTCTTGTTTGCAACTTATAATTTGGACCACGAGAATTCCTTCCCAAGCGACCCAGATTCAAGACCAGCAGGAGTAAATTGCTTTTCATAGGAACAACATACCTGCTGCTGGACAACTAGATTATTTTGACAAACTTTCCCAAGGATCCATGCAGCAGTGGTCCTAATACTTGGATCAGGGTGATAAAGCTCTCGTGTCACAGAAACAAGTCCTCCAAGTTTGTTAAAATCTGATATGATAACCACTATCACGATTACTGCACTATACAAGATGAGGAAACTGAAACAGATGAAGATTCTCAACTAATAATTTATAGTATTTTATAGAAAGTCTGTGCCGCAATATTGTAAGAAAAAGAAAAAGGTTGGCAAGTGCCATTATGTATAAAGAGAGAACACAGACCATTAACTGCTATGAAATATGAAATAATACAAGGGAAGCTATCGATGTTTAAACCAAGATGATGTTATGATTGGATTCCAAGGGAAGCCACAAAAATGCTTGCTGCTGGACCCAACAAGTACAAAAAGGCAGGTACATCAGATCAGGGCAGGTATTATATGAATTTATATAGACCTACCATTTGCATTATCTATTGGCTCAACAAGTACATTAAGTTCCTGTAGAACCCGGAGCCGATCTTCCAAAGTTATAGATGAATTATTCAAATCACTTATTGCAATTTTCATCAATTCAGCATCCGATGGAACTTTTATTTCCTCCATCAATTCCTGTCGGAGCACTAATCATCATCAAAAAAGCCGAGGAGCAGGTGTAGGCAAATGCATATTCCAAGGAAAACACAAGAGATGCAGAAGCGGCCAAATTTTAACATAACACTTCAAACAAGAAGTGCAGAATAGTTCCACCAATTCTAATTTTTTTCAAACCAATATCCAGACTAAACAAGGAGCGAGCAATTCTGTTATTTTTAACAACTACTCCAGAGTTTGATGACACTGCATTGCTCACTAAAATACAACTTAATCACTTTCCACATAGAGCAAACACCAAATCATAAAACAATATCCATATGCACCATGAATAGAAACCAAACAGGAGGAATGTAACACAAATTGAAATAAACGGTTGATGATTGATGGAAACTTCTGAGTTTAGTGCTATTTACTTATTCACACAAGGAAATGTGGTCGATTATCCTCTACAGTGCTAATCTAATGAGGAAAACAACTGTAACCCAGATTACAGCAGCCGAAACAATAAAAGAACAATGTAGAAGAAAGAAAATGGCTTCCTGAATTGGAGAGGCAGATCTCTGATTCCCAACATCTTTCTTCTCTTTCTTCTTCTCCATGTAACCTGAATCCCCTCCAATGAATTGGCTCTCATCTCATGCTAATTTTTCTCTCTGCTTCAGCTAACCCACCCAGCTCTCATCATGAGAAAGTTAGTTTTCCCTGAGCACCTGCCCTTGAGGGGCCACTCTATTTTTATTGGTTTTATTTGTTCTTTCTTTTCTAAAGTATGAGGCTCATTAAGATTGGATCAATCAATAATCCAATTGAAGAGGGATATGACGCACAAAACATCAGCTAAATCATATAATTTCGATGATGATCAACAAGACTTAAATTCAGCTAAAACACAAATTGCAAAAGGAGCCAAATATATTTCCTGCAAAAACTGCAGATGATCCTAACCTTTAATTCCATCTGACGCTTGTTTAGTTCACTTGCTGATAATTGCTGCCGTACTTCGGCTGTTTCTTTTAATTTTGCAGGATCAGCATGACCTAAGACAAAATGGTAATATAATTATGCTAAGTACAATTTTACATCAACCGCAAGTTCGTATGCTATTATTTATTAATGTTACACAGAAGAAAACTTGTTTGAGTACAAACGAATTCAAATGCTGAAAGTTTACAATTTTCATTTGGCATTCATCTAAGAAATTTTGGTTGAGCAAAAAGGGAGCGATTACAAAAGAAGATTTTTCCTGCAGCATGGCATCAGAAGTTGAGAGAGGTAACCAATTGATTATCTTGCAGCCAATCAAAAGATTTAAAAAGAAAGAAAAGACAGCAAAAAAAAAAAAATTATACACCCAGAATACAGTTACAAACCCTTCTAAAATTAGAGACTAACAAAGTGATCGATTATAAAAATGATTATACTTATAGCCCACTGTAACATCCCCTCCAGTGAAGAAAACCCGCCGTCAAGGTCACCATTGTATTGCTTGTCGTTGGGCACTAGATTCTCTTCCTCCTTTACAGTGGACCATATTGGCCCTCCCGAAGAGAGATTAGTGTCTATGCCATCAACCGTTGCGTTCATCAACCCCAGCACAAATGGAAGCAGGAAAAACAACCCTAGAATCCGGAATCCCATAAATAATCGTAATCCAGCCAAAGCTTACTGGGGAACGACCGACACCTAACGGGTAAAGTTATCCCCTGCTTCAAAACTCCTATCAACTTTAGCAACGGGCGAACTTACAAGGGGTCGTTTACTCAGCGGTTTATTCGCGTCATGTGGATTATCTTCTAGCCGTAGGTCAAATCGGGGTTTGGACGGACCAGATAACGATTGGTCTTAGCATACGCACATAAAATTTCCTTTGGTTGGTTTTTATTTTTGATGCATCTTTTACGTTTGGTTGTTTTTTTATTTTTTCTTTGGTTAGATTTTACGTTTGGTTGTTGTATGTTCTCGGTTTTGTCTTTTATTTTTTTTTTTAAATGTTCCTTTTCTTTTGGGAGAATTATTTTAAGATCACATCCAAAAAAAATTAATTTTTTTTAGGTTCATTGACAATTAAATTTAGGAGAATAATAACCTTTTTTTTTCTTTTGTTAGATTTCACATTTGGTTGTTGCGTGTTTTGGGTTTTGTCTTTTATTTTTTGTAAATGTTTTTTTTAAGTTATCATTCTCCTAAACTCAATTATTAATGAATTTAAAAATAATTAATTATAACTTTTTTTTTCTTTTCAGTTTGCAGCATCAAGTAGCCAAGATTGTAACTATTATTTCAAATAGCTTCTAGGCCTAGCCCCTTTCATTACAAGAAAGGGGGTTTTTTTTTTTTGGAGAAATTGTATAAAAACATATTAGATGAATTGCATTTGTAAATGCTTGGGTTTGAATTGTTAATATTGTAGGAGGGCTTGTAGCCTTCTTGCAACATTTAGAAGTCAAATTTATAAATTTACAGCTTATATGTTGTATTTTTATGCAAGGTTTTCAAATGATCTATTGGCAATAAATCAAGTTCAATATACTTATTAGTAATTACTTTGCCTACTTAATTAGATGCATACATAATTTCTCAATTAAGATTAAAATATGATGAGTTATTATAGTTTAATTGGCCAATACACAAATGATATGATGCATTGGATCTAATTAAAAATTTCTCATATATTAGAACAAAATTTATCTTAACTGCATACAATATTAGAGTTATATATACGTCATTAATCCATCTTACTTATGTATTCTTACACAATTTAAATTAAATGCTTCAATATGAAAAATAATTATGAGTTTACTATCAATTTTGAAGGCGTTTGTGTGCACAGTTCATTTTCTCGTTTAAATAATAAATGCATATAAATGGATATAACTAATTGCAAAATGTAAATAACGTAAAAAATTTAAAAGTTGAATGAAGGGCAAATTGAGAATAAAGACCTAAATAGTGGCAAATGTTATAAAATTAAGCAACCAAAAAATAAAGATATTAGGAGAAGAAGTAGAGATAAGAGAATGAGAAAATTTCTTATAAGTTCTTGTATTTTTCAAAACAAATTACATGCCCTATTTATAGGCATGACCTTACACATCAAAGGTTACATAAATGATAAAAATAAATAAAAGGTAATCAACTCTCATGACAGTGGGAATAGTGTTTTGAAAATCGGACCAGACCGAATGGTCGGCCGTCAATCGGTCTGATTTCTTGTCTGGTTCATAGGAAAAAACCATTTTAAGAGTTAAGCCATTTTGAACTGGCGGTTAGATTGGGAATCAAAATCAAACTGAGAATCGAATTTGGTTTTCAAAAACCGAACTGTTAAAAAAAACTTTTTTATTTTTTATCAAATTTTTTTAAAAAAAATGACCAATTTTTTTAATCATTTGATATTATGTTGTATCATATAGCTTGTTAAGTCATGATAAATTTAAAATATTCAATTTTTTTAAGTTAAATAGCAATTTCATATGTATTTCTTATATTTAAATTATTATATACATATATAATTTTTTAAATTTAATTATTAGTCACCAGTTAGACTATGCGAATTGTGGACCGCTGACTTTTCCGGTTCAATGTCCAGTCCGATTCTGAAAACGTTAGGTGGGAGTTTCATAAGAGGACAATCAATTCTCATGATGAAGGAAGTTCCATGGGAAAAGATAAAGATGAAGAGGTGATATCGCACCTAGAAACATGTGATGCGGACAGCGTGCAAGTGGAGGTCTCGGGCTTTGCGGTGAGAACTAAACAGAACAAGGAGTCGTCATTAAGATTTTGAGGTAAATCTTGAAAAATTGATTAATGAAGGATAAGAATAGTCTATGAAAACAGAAAATAAGTTCGGGAGTCGGTTGAGTATGGGAAAGGTGTCAAGCATCTCACAACACCCGTTCGTGAGAACAGTTACTTGAAATTTGTTGTGTTTTATTAATATGATTTTAAAATTATTTTAATTATTTCTTTTATATTCATGTGTTTTAAAAAATGATAAGAATTAAGTAAAAAATATTTATTTATTTATAAGGGAGGACTTGACTCAAAATCTGACTTTGAGTCCTACGTACCCTATGATGGGGATCAAAGTCCATGTAGTTCGACTTGCAAGTTGTTGGTGAAAATATTTTTTTGAAAAGAAATTAATTAAAAATAATTTATCATTTTGTAAATAAAATAATTTTTGAAATTTTGATATGTATGTTTTAAATTACAAAAAGTAATTTAATTTTAATTATTTTCTTAATTTTTGAATTTTTGAAATGAAGAAATGAAAAGGGTTTAAAATTATTATTTTTTATGTTTTATGATTGAGAATTTTAACTACTATATTTGCAGAACTTTATTGATTCATACGGTAATGCAGTTGTTCTAAATATCTCCAGAGATTCTGAATTCAGTGTTAGTAAAAATTTGTTTAAGTATTATATATATGATTTATAGGCTCTTAATCATTATACCTGCAAAGCCTTATTGACTTATACAGTAATATGATTATCCTAAATATCTGTGGAGATTCTAAAATCTCACATAATAAAGGAATTAAATTTATTTAAATACATCTTTTAGTTTAATTAATTTAATATATAATTTATATATATTTTAAAAATTTAATCATTATATCTGTAGAGTCTTATTGACTCATACGATAATATGATTATCTTAGAAGTCTACGGAGATCCAAAAATCTCACATGATTAAAAGATATAATCAATAAATGTGATTACAACTTAACATTTATTAATTTGATTAATTAATTTTTGTAAATTGTCTATTATATGATTACTTACAAAAATCATTTATTTATTATAAAAATTAAAAATCACTACATCTGCAAGGACTTATTATCCTACACGATGATATGATTAATTTAAGTCTCTATAAAGATTCTTAAAATCTCACATGGAACTTAAATAAATTATTAATGTGAATTATAAAAGGAGAGTTAATTTTAATGATGGGCTTTTGAAACCCATATTAACATATAAGTTTTACTCTCATACCTGTGAAACTTTATTGATTTACACGATACAAGATTATTCTAAATATTTGCAAAGATTCAAAGTTTCACACAATAAAAGGATTAAATAATATTTACTTTAAATACATTTTAATGTGTAATTATACAACATATATTTTTAAATATAAAAATATTAATCGTTATACATGCGAAGCCTTATTGACTCTCACGGTAGTGTGATTATCCTAATAGCCTATGGAGTTTTAAAAATATTACATGACCCAAAAGATCTAATTAGACAATATAATTATAATTTAAATTTATTAATTTAATTAATATTATAAAAAAATTTATTATTTTATTTACAAAAATTTGTTTATGTATGTACCGTACAAATTGTGAATCACGATATCTGCGAGTATTTATTATCCTACATGATAACGTGATTAATTTAAATCTCTATGAAAATTTTTGAAGTCTTACATAAGACTTAAATATTTTATTAATACAAAAGAGTTAATTTTAATAATGATCATTTTAATATATACAAATTGAATCTTCACACCTGTGAAATCTTATTAATTTACATAGTAGATGATCATTTTAAATGCCTATGGAGATTTTAAATTTTTCTTGCAATATTAATTATTTAAGAATATCCTTGTTTTGCTGTTTCATCCAAAAGTTATTGTATTTTACTTTACAAATGGACTCTAAAAATGATAATTTAAAGTTTTATACATCAAATTGCACATGTGGAGAAATATGGATATAAAATTAAGCTCAAGAAGGCCCCTATACATGGAGAAAAAAATCACCAATTAAGCTATAAAAATTAACATGTAATTTATTGACCAACTCTTAAAAATCAATGTAATTAAATAGGTAAATGAGATCTAAAATCCTAAGAATTTTGTCTCAAACAATAGTTAGAAAGTGTCATGGATACAAAATTTCATATTAAAGTAACCTCTATGTCAACATATAAGAATCTATAAATCAAGTTGTAACAATTTAATAAAGAAAAACTTTTCATGATCTATTCTGCAAAAACCATCATATTTGATCGTATAAACGGGCTCCAAAAATAATGAAAATTTTAGGGATTAAACTAAATAGGAGAAGGAACATCTGTGCAAAATATTAAACAAATAACATGTAAGTACAGATAGAGGAAACCAACAGTAACAGTCTAAGCAATGAACATGAAATTATAGGAGTAGATAAGTTCAAAGTCGTTACCTATGAGCTTGTTAATACGCATGCTTCGCCTGTGTCTAGTGAGCTGAACCATCTTCTCCTTAACTTCATATCTCTCCTCGCACATGTCTGTCAACCACACTCCTAGACTCACCAACAATAAGCTTCTCTGGATGATCTTAGCCTTCTTCTTAGGCCTCTGTGAAAGCTTCCTCTTCTTTCTCTTTGTTGAACAGCGAGATATACAACTTCAACTACACATGAACTCTCTCCTCTCCATCTCCTTCTTTCTCTTGTTCTCCATCTCTTTCTCTCTCTCATTCTCCGTCTCTGTTTGGCTTCCCCCTTCCTCTCAGTCTCTATTTTTTCTTTTAACTGTCTCACTTTCAATCTCTCCCTCGCTCTTCTCAATCCTCTACTCTCCTTCTGGGTACTCTCTCCTTTCTTGGCTTTTCTCTTGCTCATCACTATCAAAACTCTATTTTTCTTCTCTTTTCCTCTCAAGTCAATGCTCTTTTCCTCTTAGTTTGTACTCTGTTTCTGTCTGTTTTTTCTTTTGTGCTTCATCGCTGAAGCTTCCTTGGTTTTCTACTCTCATTCTTGTGCTCTCTTTTCTATTTTTTCTACATTTTTGTTTCTCTCTCTTTATGCTTTGTTTTTGTTCGATTTTCTCGTCTGCCCTCCCCTCCAGTTTTTGATCTTCTCTCTTTTAAAGAAGAAACAGGGAAGAGCTTGCATGTGAGGAGAGAGTTTATGTGCTTTATCGCTCGCTCTGCTCTGCTGTGTGCATGCGTCTGAATTTTCTTTTGCATTTTTGTGCTTTTGTCTGTGTGTTTTCGGCTTTCTTCTTCCTTTCTCTAGTGCAGCGCCTGACCGAGAAAGATTTGTTTCTTTTAGCTGTCTATGACTCTAGTTTCATGTGTTCACTGTGCACGCTTGCTTCTCCCTGGTCTGCTACTGTGTTTGCTTGCTCTGTGCTCAAGCTCCATACGTGCATGTCCCTTTTTTCAGCCATTCTTTTTTGCAATGCTTTTTTTTTTTTATTATTAATTAGATTAAGGGAGAGAAAGAAAAGTCTAATTTTAAAATATATATATATATATATATATAAATGGAAAACAAAAAGATTTAAGAAGAAAAATTTAAAAATAGTTGAGTCTCAAAAAAAATTAATTTTCAATATTTTTAAATGATTGGGATAATTTTAAAAAAAATTTAAAAGATTTAAACAAGATTTTTTTTACTTTGTTAAAAATAATCCTAAAAAAAGTTAAATTTTATTTTTTGTATTTTTATTTTTTTTAATTATTTTAATAAATTAAGAAATAAAATCCTAACTAACAAAAAATTATCCAAAACAAAATTAAGCTCTATAACAACAACAACAACAAGCCTTTATCCCACTAGGTGGGGTCGGCTACATGGATTGCAAGACGCCATTGTGCTCTATCATTTATTAAGCTTTTAGAAATATTATTAATTAAGAGATCACGTTCAACAACTTCCAAGAGTGTTCTCTTAGGCCTTCCTCTACCTCTCTTAATCGGACTCAAAGTTATATGTTCCACTCTTCTCACTGGTGCCTCCCTTGGTCTTCTTTGTACATGCCCAAACCATCTCAACCGATTTTCTACCATTTTTTCCTCAATAGGTGCCACCCTCACTTTTTCGCGTATGTGCTCATTTCAAATTTTATCTTTACGTGTATGTCCGCACATCCATCGTAACATTCTCATCTCTGCTACTCCAACTTTATGCTCTTGCTGTCCCGTTAGAGCCCAGCATTCACTACTATATAACATTGCCGGTCTGATAGCAGTACGATAAAACTTTCCTTTAAGTTTATTAGGCACCTTACGGTCACAAATAACTCCTTTAGCTTTTCTCCAATTAAACCACCCAGCTTGAATTCTATGTGAAATATCTCCACTGATTTCGCCATCATTTTGAATAATGGCTCCCAAATATCTAAACTTTTCCACTTGAGGTATAATTTGATCTCCCAATTTCACTTCCAAATTATTTTCGAATAGTCCTTTACCAAATTTACAATATAAATATTCCGTCTTACTTCTACTCAGACGAAAACCTTTCGACTCCAATGTCCTCCTCCATAACTCAAGTTTGCAATTAACCTCTTCTCTTGTCTCTGCTATAAGAACTATATCATCCGCGAAGAGCATACATTTCGGAATTTCCTCTTGAATATGTTCCGTCAAAACATTTAAAATCAAGTTAAACAAATAAGGACTCAGAGATGATCCCTGATGTAGTCCAATCTTTATAGGAAAATCCTTTGTTTGACCACTAGGCGTTCTTATACTAGTTTTTACCCCCTCATACATATCTTGTATGGCTTTAATATAAGCAATCCGTACTCCCTTTTTTTCCAACGCTTTCCAAAGCACTTCTCTTGGTATACGGTCATAAGCTTTTTCCAAATCAATAAAAACCATGTGTAGATCTTTATCTTTACAACGATACTTTTCCATTAATCCCCTTAGTAGATAAATCGCCTCTGTAGTTGATCTACCTGGCATAAAACCAAATTGATTCTCAGAAATACTTGTCTCCAATCTCAACCTGTGCTCAATTACTTTCTCCCACAATTTCATTGTGTGGCTCATGAGTTTAATCCCTCTATAGTTAGTACAATTCTGAATATCTCCTTTATTTTTATAAATAGGAATTAATGTACTTCTCCTCCACTCATCAGGCATTTTCTTGGACCGTAAAATCACATTAAATAACTTAGTTAACCATCTCACCCCTTCTTCACCTAAACATTTCCACGCTTCGATAGATATACAATCAGGTCCGTTGGCTCTACCATTTGCCATTTTCTTAAGAGCTTCCTTTACCTCCTTATCACGTATTTTTCGATAGAATGACAAATTTTGTTCTCCTTCACCAGTTACTAAATCCTCCAAGTTACTAGATGAATCCTCTCCATCATTGAAAAGTTTAGAAAAATAAGTCTCCCATCTATTTTTAATTTCATCATCTGTAACTAAAATTCTTTCCTCTTCATCCTTAATACACCTTACCTGTTCTAGATCTCTTGATTTTCTTTCCCTACTCTTGGCAATCTTATAAATATTTTGCTCTCCTTCCTTCGTCTCAAGGTTCTTATAAAATTCTTCAAAAGCTTTAGAACGAGCTTCACCCACAGCTCTCTTAGTTTCCTTCTTAGCCATACGGTACCTCTCCCAATTTTCCTCATTGTTACACAAATGTATGGCTTTAAAACAGTTCTTCTTATACTTGATTTTGTCCTGTACACTATTATTCCACCACCAAGACTCCTTATCTCTCGGACCAGAACCTTTCGATTCTCCCAAAACTACTTTTGCAACCTCCCGTATCTTTTTAGCCATATCCTCCCATATGATGTTAGCACTTCCCTGAGAATCCCAAATTCCTTTATCCAAAAGATTTCGCTTGAAAATATCTTGCTTCTCACCTTTTAATTGCCACCACCTAATCCTTGGTGTTACTACTTGTCGACGTTTTTGAATTTTACTCATAATACACACATCAAGGACTAGGACCCTATGTTGTGTCGTTACAGCATCTCCGGGATCACCTTACAATTTTTACAAAGTTTTCTATCTGTGTTCCTAACCAAAAGAAAATCAATCTGCGACCTTGAGGCTCCACTTTTGTAAGTGATGAGATGCTCATCTCTCTTCTTGAAACAAGTGTTGGCAATCTTAAAATCATACGCCAATGAGAAATCAAGAAGAGTTTGTCCTTCATTGTTTAGCTCTCCAAAACCAAAACCACCATGCACCCTCGCATACTGACCAGCTTCCCTCCCGACATGCCCATTAAAGTCTCCTCCAATAAAAATCTTTTCACTCTGTGGTATGTGTCGAATCAACCCCTCCAGATCCTCCCAAAATAATTCCTTAAGACTGGCTTCTGTCCCGACTTGCGGCGCATAAGCGCTAACAATATTAACAGTCTCACGTCCAATTATCATTTTTAAAGAAATAATTCTGTCTCCAATTCTGCTAACTGCTACAACGTTCTTCTTCCACTCCTTATCTATAATGATGCCTACTCCATTGCGTGCACTTACTTTTCCTGTATACCAAAGTTTGAAACCTTGAATATCCTTAGCTTCTTCTCCACGCCATTTTGTTTCTTGCAAGCAAAGATATTGATTTTCCTTTGAATCATAACCCCTACAACCTCTACAGATTTACAATTTAATGTCCCAACATTCCAAGTACCAAATCTAATTTTGCTCTTATGGACTAACTTCTTTAGCCGCGTGCGTCCAGAATGACGCGGTAGCCCTTGCTCATTTAACACTACATCCGGGCGCCGATGCAGTGGCTCTAACTCACTTATCACTGTACTCGAGCCATGCAGCGCGTTACTTACGGGCAACGACCTAGCATTAACATTATAACGTCTATTGTCCATGTTCATGATAGATTCAACAAATTTTTACATTGGCTGTTGATGGCCTAACACAACCCTCCTCCTTTACCTGGGCTTGGGACCGGCTATAAACATAGGCGGAGTTAAAATTAAGCTCTATCAATTAAATTAATTTTTTTTGAAAATGTAATCCTAAAAAAAATTAGACTTCATTTTTATATTTTTATATATTTTTTTAGTTATTTATTATTAAATTTAAAAAATGTCCAGACAAAATACGATGTTCATAGGTAATAAAGATGGATATCCACTATTGTAATATTCATAACAGCAATGATATTATGACTAATTCAGTAACTCCACCTCCTAATTAAATATATTTGACAGACAGCCATACTTGAAAAAATAACCAGAGAAGATATATTTCAGTAAGTACTAAAAATTGATATATTCACACTGTAGGCTGGTATGAACTTTAGATTGTGCAGAAAGATTCTATAAGCCATAGATCTGAATATTTGGAATCATTTTTTTTTTCACACAAAAGAGAGCAAGGCCCAGCAAACTCAATTTTGAATGAACAGCATATTTTTTTCATAAAAAATGTAAACCCCAAAACACTCCTCCGCCACGAAGGAGCCCGAGAAAATTCAGTTACCATAATTGAAAGTGAATCGAGCTAGCTCTGTTCTGGAAAGTAAGATGCCCTTCACTTCCCAACCCTTCACCAAAATTTGTTCCATCAAATCAGACAGATCCCTTTCCGCAGACCTCTTGCTATCCTCAATGATCATAGCCCACTCTTCAAGGGCTGACTCTGATTCATTACTATTTTCCCACCGACTACGATCCGCAATGAGGACCTTGCGGATGGAGCAAGCCTAAACAGCAAATGGGGGGAAAAAGTCATATCAATAATCATCGACAAAAGCAAAACATGTAGTGTGTTTGGTTTTGAACCAATGTTTTGCTGAAAGCAGGTAGTTACATACTTCCAACAAAAACCATGGTTTTGATGATTTCTAATGAGAATCTAAACACGTTAATAGTTAGTGTGTGCTTGGCTACTAGTTTAGAAGATTCAAATGACTCTTGAAAAATCCTGCTTTAATAATACTTGTTTGGGCGGGCCAAAACTGACTTTTATAAAATAGAATATTAACCTAAAACTGGGTTCTGCCTAAAAAGAAAAAGCTGCTTTTAAGAAACGGGGTTTTGCAAACAGAAACTGAGTTTTGGAAAACTGGCAGCCAAACACACACCAAGCAAGAAGATAAAACGAGAGACCTACTCTAGCTAAACCAACTGAGATGACCTAGCAGTACAGGCGCATTCATCATGACATTGATCATAATAGTTGGAAAACCATTGGTTATAATATTAAGAGTAGAGTATTCTCACCTGTAGCAAACCCATTATTATATGAACTGCTTCGGCACCTTCACGCAAAGAAAGAAGGATAGCGGGCTGCGTGGTTACCAACAAGTAATGAGTAATATAGAAACACTTCTAACACAACTAGTTCGTTGCAAGGTTAGGAGGCCTAAGAGCTGCAGAACGAGCTCATTAGTTATGCTCACCTGCCCAATTCTGTTTAATCTTTTGGACAAGATCTCTATGCATATGAAGTAAAAATCATCTCCAGTAATACGTTGCATTGCCTCTATTGACCACCTGGGTATATGGTTGCTGGGATTTAAACACCCTATTCTAATTGGCCACGATTCTTGACCTGATCAAATTCTTGTCAATTGATTACAAGTTCCCACAATCAATTGTGCGAGCTACAAAGAATTAAATACAATTCAAAGAATCAGTAGCGTATCACCTCCAATTCCCAGAATGTTAATTCCTTCTTTCTCGCTCACCTCTGCAGGAGCAGGAACGTACCCAGACTCAATCCAAGTATTGAGTATAATTTCAAGTCTATCCTAAAATAATAACACATCATGCGTGAGCATCATATTCCCAAACAGTGTTACTCTAAAATCCAAAAAGAGGAACTGAGAAACTCGGTAGACAAGAACTGAAGATCATGATTATAGCAAATAGAAAGGAGGAGGGGCATCAAAGCCTAGTTTATTTACCCCGCAACCCATGTTCAAAATTACAATCCTTTTCACTAGATTATAGGCAACTTGAAAGGGATTGAATCAAAAACAGTTTACTTAAAGGGAAGAAAAGAAGAAAAAGGCAAAAAACCATGGTCAGCTATTTGAAGCAACTACAACATAACTTTTATGTCATTAGAAAGCAAAATTTATTGGGAAAAAAAAAACAAGAATACCTGACACAAATCCAGTAGAATGATAATTTCCTTCAATAACGAGTCAAGTGGCACATTTGAATTGATATTTTAAAGACCTTTTTGTTGGTATTTAACTTGTCTTGAAGCACAAATGTGTCCATCAAATCACTTTGTCTCTAATAAAGAAAAGGATTCTTTATCCATAGGCAACTTAATATTCAAGCCATCATATAACCCACCTTAGTCAAAGTTCGCAGGTGGACAAGCTTCAGCCCCTGATATATCCCAAGAAGGTCCATGCCAGCAAAAATGAGATAAATAAGGAAATGAAGACCTACTTGTCGTCTTCCAAGCCAGAAAATAAATAAGGTAAGTGAGAAGACAAACTAAAACATTTATGCAGAAAACTTAAAACTTTCCGGCATATATATCTGAAAATAAGTTATTTGTATATCTTGTGAGCGCGCGCACAGATTTATGCATACACACATGCATGTGTGTGTGTCTGGGTGTGTGCGAGCATGTACAAGAAAAATACAATTAGCTCAATGTTTGATGGGACAGCCAACTGGAAATTTCATCCTCAAAGTAAGAACATTTAATGAATGACAATAACTTATAACCTTAGATACTTCTCAAATAACATGTTTATAAGTGCAGCAAGCACGAGGCCAAGGTTGTCAAAGCACACTGTTTGTATCTGACACACATCAAAATGTAGAATATAAATATCAGGATATATTCAAGAAAAAATAACCATGTAACCCAAAAAAAAAAGGGGGGGGATTAACCTGTGCCTTAGCAGAAATTTCACCAAGATGGTCCACCACAGCAAAACTTTGATGGACAGCAGACTGTAGAAACACAAAGTGAACAACAAATTCTACCAGCAAAACAAAGTACAGTAATTACTAACAGATGAGAAAGGGAGAATGATTGTGATAGAGCTCATGATTTTACTAAGACCTATAAGAGGAAATCAATGAGAGCAATGAGCAGAAGATAACATTATTGTTGGTTCAGATGTTTGCCCTTGGGATGCTGGTTATAAGGAAAAGTAATTGATGGTCTAGTGATGTGTTAGATCCCTAGTGATGTGTTAGTCTTCTAGGGGTAAGGGTTGTGTTAGAGTCACTTTTTGGGTCTTTAAATCTTCCTCCTTGCCTAGAGAGAGGGGGGGATTATTTTGAATATTGAGAGTGTTGAGGAGTGCTTTGGCCTCTCGAATGTCAGGTTGGGGGTGGAGGAAGTCATCTTTCTTCATCATTTTATCTTCTGCTTAGTGTATGTTTGTAAGTGAGTGACTTATATTTTGTGATTGTTGTTTGGTAGAGTGTATTTTTGTGCTGTTTCTGTTTCAGTACGCTGTAATTTTCAGTTCCTTATTTTGCTGTAATCCAACTTTGCTATTCGGTAATAGTAATTTTCAGTCTCCATTTGTGGTGTAGTTTCTAGTTTATGCTTGTTTAAAGCTTATTAGAATAGAGGGTTCCATCAGATTGCAAAATATTTCATCTGAAAATGATTTAAAGGAAAAAGGAGTAGGTAGAAAGATAAATCAACACAACCCATCTCAGAAAATAGAACATAAGTGGACCGCCAAATGGAACCCAAAGCAAACTGAACATCATAGTAAGGAATTGTTAAAGCTGGCAATCATGAGCTGTGACCTCTCTAAGTTTATTCTGTAAAGGATTTTTTTTTTTTTCTTTTGCCCCTCATTCTGCACAGGATATTTTAAACACATAATCTATCATACATCAACATGCTTTATGCATTTGTTAAACAAAAATATTAAGTTGGGAAGGAAAATTCTGCAACAATATACAAAAATAAAGCTCGCAATTAGCATGATGACAGAAATCTAAAGCCTCAGGCAAAACATCACTAAAAGCTCTCGTATATTGTTTTGCTCTCACAAGAAAAAGAAGCATTCTTTATGAACTATTATGCATCAGGGGCAAACGAAGATTTTCTCACTGATTTTTTTTCTTTTCCACCTTGTTTCCATCACTTCATCATATCATATCACGAAAACATAAAAGGAATTCAGGAAACAAAACAGTGCAATGGATATATAAACATGGCTTTCTTTGTTTTACTATCCAACTAATAATTTTCTCATTGGGCAAGTATAATATGGACTATCATATTTTTAATAAAAACAATCAATTTTGAAGATAAAAGATAGAGAGAAAATTCCATGAAAAATGTACTATAATATGAATCTTTAGATTACTAACCCTCGATACCTTACCCGAGTTGCTAAGTAGCATGCCAGGCTTATTTGCTTCGCAATGTTGGCAATAGTTGCAAGAAGGAGGAAGTATTGTGGGAACGCAGGAGTAAGTAACTCAAGTCCAATGCTAGCAACAAAAAGGATTGACGTAGAGAACCTGACTCTCTTTGTAGAAGAGGAAAAAATTGGGGGGGAAATGAAAGGAAGGATATAGAATTTTATCAGATGTCTTATGTGTGCAAATATATATCATATGTAGTATCACGTAAATGATAAACTGCAGTTCAACAATTACCACTTTACTTCACTGTACCTTTGATAACTTCGAAAAAAACCTTTGAATGCAGACAGTTAGGGTTTAAATGTAACTAATAGGAATTTATCCCTTCTAAATGACTTTTAAACGCACATACCTTCAAATTTGTATCAAATGCAGACGCCAGACTAGCAGTGTAGATGCATCTGCTAAGTCTTCCAATGCCATCTTTTAAAACCCAATTCAAAGCAGCAGAAGATGGAAGTGAATAGGAGTGCCCAACTCCTATGGCCTTGAACATGGCCTGGGATCAATTCATTATGATATAGTATGTTATCATGCAAAGTAAACTTTTCAAGTGAGACCAGAAGAATTCTCATTTAAAGAGAACAGATTGCAACTGTAAATTGCTCAGTGATTTTAATATTATTTCACTAAAACTGGCACATAGTACAATCATTCACAAAACAACACTGGAGAGGTAAGGAGAAGATTATAATTGAAGTCTTTTATTTAATCCGCCTATGGTCTATTTATATTTATATTTTTAATCCACTTCATACAAAAGTCATCTTGATCACCATAAACCGCTGAATCATCTAGAATGTTTCTGCTGTCTAATAGGTTCACTTCTATGCATGAGATGTTATGTGACAAAATACTAATAAACCTAGTCTGCATTTTTCACAAGAATACATGCATCAGGGTCAAAGTTGATCGCTTGTAGACTACTAAACAAAATAAAGAAAGAGGCAAGTCGGACGGTTTTCTGCCTATTTTGATTAGATGGTTTGTCCAGAGTCATGCACTGTGGTGGTTTATCAAATCTACAAACAAGACAGCAACTTGGCCAACCAAGTGTTTCTTAAAGTGTGTATATCCTCTATATAAAATGACTTTCCAGCTCTGATTTCGAACTTGGATGCTCTTGCTGATAGGAAGGGAATAAGACAATTTGCTTATCAGCTACAGTGGATTCATATTAGTTGTTTGTGTTTGCATGTTTTTGCATTTAGCACTCTTATGTTTTCTATTTACGCTTACATCCTCAACATGCTGTTGGGACGTTGAATTTGTTGTTGATCAGTTTTCAATGGAATGATGCTTTAGAGAAAAGCAAAACACATAAACAAATACAGGAGAACTGAACCGCTTATAATATTAAATCAGCTATCACCAACATAAATAAAGATTTAATATACCTGAGTAGCGAGAACTTGAAGCGCGGAGCTGAAAACACGATGCAAGAACTTCCACTTCACATAATCCATGTAACTATCAGCAACTTGTTGAGGAATAAGAAAATCCCTGATAAGAAAACAGCATATCCTGAACAATTTACGAAACCCCTTGTCGAAATCGAACTCAAAAGACGATGAGCCGCCACCATCAACACTGACCATTCGTATACAGTCCCCATCCCAAAAGTACTTAGAGACCTTCATCGAGCTACGAACCACAAACGGAAGGCTAACTGGCAATGTGGACTGTGGTCCTTTTTCAACCCCTTCATCGGATTCACTATCAAGTTGTGTTCTCAAAGAGGAATAAGCAGCCAATGGTTTGAAAAACAGTTTAGAATTATTGAGTATTGATTCATTGGATATGTAGCAAGTTCTTGGAAGTTTCCAAGATAAATGATAACTAATCGAGGCTGTGTGAAGAGAAGATTGCATGAGAATCGAAAAGTGGAATTAGAGATTGAAGTCAGTCTTGTCAAATTCCACTATAATTTGAATCGAACTGAGAAAATTTTCAGGCAGAATCCGTTCCCAAAGCAAGAGAACAAAACGTCTTCTCAACCTCGATGACTGATAACTAAAACTGCTGCGACAAAGCTTCAAATTAGAAAAAGAAAGAGAGATAGGGACAGGCTGACATAAAATGGGAGTTCAATGACCAAAAAAAAAAATAGCACCGGAAGGAAACTGATTGCGCCACAAGATAAGGTTTCTGTGAGTACTAGAGGAAACGGCGAGCCAGAATCTATTGCGGGACTCCTACGCGCGTATTTCCTACACTAGAGTTATGTCTGCAAAAGCCAACAAGTAGGGAAAATAAGTTCCAATTTCCACTGACTTTTAAAAGATTGGCTACAGGAATTGTATAATGTTATCACACCATTCAAATCACACTTAACCAACCCAAACCCAATAAGTTCATTACATAAAATTCCAATAAATTATAACAAAATTTTGACATAATCTTCCAAAAAAGTTAAACCTCAATTGCTGAACTCAACAAAACTCAATAAATGATTCATAATTCTACATTATTTAGACCAAAAAGAAGGAGAAGGAAGCGGGAGACTGAAACAAATGCCTTAGATACTTGCTTACTAAAGTAGACTCTTCAAACTAGTAATTCTTAATTAAGTCGTCAATTGAACTTCCTTGCCTTCAATCGCTCCAATGAAAAATGCATAATTTTGAGTCAATGATATCAGTTCCGAAGAGAAAGGAAGCAGGCGTCGAGCCGCGGATGCTGTGCTTACTTTTAGTTTCGATTTCGAAGACAACGTGCGGTGATGGTCAGAGGAGGAAGGCGCGCGGATTTGATTCGTTAGGGTAAGGAAAAGGAATGAGATATGGAAAAAATTAATAAAATAATTATTTTTTTTAAAAAAATTAATCATTTAATCGGCTTTCTAAGTGGATGAAGTTTTGTCCTCACCTCTCCTCATTATAACTTAATTTTTATAATTTTAATTCAATTATAATATAATTTTTAAATTTTAATTCTTATAAATTCATACTATAATTTTTATCATTTAAAATGTTGGTCATTATATTTTTAAAAAAATTATCATATGATTTTAAAAATAAAATTATAGATAATTTTAATTTTAAAAATAAAAGAACTAATATTTTAATGATTAAAATTATAAGGATTAAGTTGTAATAATTAAAATTTAAGAATTGAGTAATAATTGAATTATATGAGAATCAAGTTATAATTGGATTAAAATTATAAGAATAAAATAATTAATTTTTAAATTTTTTAATATTCAAGTGAGGAAAAATTTAGGCTCAACCCAATCTGGCTTAGGATTAACCTAAATACTCAAAAAATTTACTTTTTTAAAACAATGTATAAAATATAATATATTAAACATTAATTGATGCTCTAAATTTTAGTTAATTTTATTATAAATATTTTCTTTAAAAATTTCTTAATATTGATTTTTAAAATTTAAGATCTACAAATAAAAAAATTTAAGTCATTCACATTTTTTTAAATATCCTAAAAATATATTTCATATTTTTTATAAAATAAAAATAATTAATTTTAAAGAAAAATCACCAGGGCACATATATAAAAGCATATCATAATGGTCCCCAGCAAGGCCCAAAATAAGATACAGATCAAGCCCAAAAATGAACCAAAGCTCATTTCATCATTGTGCTAAAGTCGAAACAGCAACATAGCTACTTAGATGTGGTTCAACCAAAACTGAGGCTCAACCTGAAATTAAACTATTCTTAATTAAAATAATATAATTTAATTTATATACATAAAAACATTCATATTTAAATATAAAAAATAAATATTTAAATAAAAATCATTAGTTTTGCTTAAATAACACAACAAAAATTCAATAAAAAGAGAAAAATATTATACATGTCAACATAATATTAACAAAAATTCATCAAACTCAGTAAAATCTCAATAAAAATTAAAAAGTTAAATAACTTTGCTCGAATAAATGGACTAGGTTGACCAGGTCACCACCAGGGGTGACCCACTGAGTTACAACCAAATTGACTGGATCAATACTACCCTAGGTTAGATTATAAACCAGACTGACCAACTAGCTGGTTCATCAAGTTACCAGTTAAAATAACCCATCTAGTTCAAATTTTCATTCATTAGGATGGATGATTCCAAAATACATAGGATAAGCAAAACAAGCGAACAAACATGAACTCAACGGATTATGAAACAATCTACTAAATCAACTAGGGTTAAATTTGGTGGAAGGTGCTAGTCCCCCACAACATGTAACATCCTCAATTTTTTTAAAACAAGATTAAATAAGCCGAATCAAATTAATTAAGTGTACTAGTAAGGTGTGTGGCCAAAGAGGCCCAACGGGCGTGTTTGGTCTCAATTTCAACCCTAAACGCAGGTCCAAAGGAGAATTAGGTCACCTGGGAATGAAAGAGTAAGAAATTTTGAAAAGGGAGATTCTATACCATGTGTCATAGCTTGTGTATGAGCCGCCAAGGCGCATGTATGGCAACATGCTTAGGAGAGGCTCTATGTACCATAAGCCACAATGCATGGTCACTTTTTTGCTACAATAAGTCGCGAATCTGACGCAACAGAGAAGGAAAGAAATAAAAAACACAAGAGGGCAACGAAAGGACTATGCTAGGGGTTGGGAAATTTGAATATTGAGAGTATTTTTGAGCTCCTAAATGTCAATGGTAAGCTTCCTTACTCTCTCTTATTCTATTTTCTTAATGGTAGAAGTTAGGGTTTGATTGATGATGGTGATTTTCGGTCCATAGAGGCTATGGGTCTAAACCTATTGACTTAAATAGAGTTAATAAGAGTAGATTGAGCTAAATAAATTTGGTATTTATGATTATATGATGATTGGTGGTTAAAGGACATTAAATATCTAAAAATTCTCATAAATATGATGGTTGGGAATAATGTGATTCCATTAATAACCATTAAAGAGCTTCATGATATTAATGAGGGTTAAAGGAAGTTAAGAAACCTTATGGGTATTTTTACATGAGTCAATAATGAATCTTGAGTAATAAGAAATGTGAGTTATTAGTAATAATTAGTTCAAACGTGGATATTAATGAATTGCATTATAAATGCATGTAGAGTCACTATCATTGACACCATTCTAGCTTCTCGAAAGCTTTAGGATTGAGTATTTAAGGGGTGAAACTTTTAACCTCTCAAAAGTTTGAGGTAACCTGGAGAATTCTAACGTAGACTTTTATGTGTTTACTAGTTATTGATTGATATTTGATAATTAAATTATGTAAAATTTGTTCAAATGCAAATGTGGCTTGTTTTATTTAAAAAGCTCACTATTGAAGTAGTGATTTAATATAGTCCAATAATTTTCAATAAGTAAGGTACAACAATTATAAAAACTTAAAGTACAATGATTTAAGTTACTAGGAGTTCAATGACTTTGAAAATCTATGGAGTTCGACAATTGTGAATTTGTGAAGTACAATGATTTAAAATTTAGAGTTCTATGAAAATATGTTTAAGGAATTCAATGATTTGTAAAATAGTAGAGTTTAATAAAATTGGTTATGTAGAGTACTATGAATTATGTTAAATGTGAATTTTGTATGAATATGCATTGCATGATTTGAGAAGCAAGAGTTTACCTAAGAAAAGGAGTAGAAAATTAAATTCACATAATAGGGTTCCATCTAAGTGATGGCTTTTTTGAATTGATTATATTCATATTATCCCACTTGTTCAATGAGGGACTGTCTCATAGGTTCAACAAGGGACTCAAACCTAACTAACTATATACTAGTTTAACGAGAATGCTAGTTTAGGGTATATGACACCTCATGGTGAGAGAAATAGGGAAAATCGTGTTCCATAAGTGAATTGGGTGTGTCTTGGTCGAGTAATCCCCTCGGAAGTGTTTAGGCTAGGGAAGTCATGGATTATAGACTATCACATTATGTTATAGCCCACAGTTTCATGTTGGAGGAATAAGAAAGATATAAAGGAAGTATGATCATGCATATAGTGAATAAGCGCATATGGTTGTATGTATTGTGACCCTAATGATGATAATCATAAGTTGAGTCTTAATCACTTTTGATCATATATTATTGAATCGTGTGATAAACCTCATTTGATATGAAAATTGCTAAAAAACTTTATTTCCCAAACATGTGCTATTATGCTTGGAAGTGTGAATATATATTTTCAAATGTTTTACATGGTTTGAAGAATTATTTATACATGCCACTTGCATTTAAACTAATTGACATGCATTAGTATGGGTTAGTTGGACCTTGGTTATTAAGTGGTTATACTCACCCCACTATCTTCAATATTATAGGGAATAGCTCAAGAGAATTGGAATGAGGAAAGCTCTCCGAGGCTTAAGACTGTGATCCTATTTTGTAACCCTCTTCTTTTTTGAGTCATTATGTATTAACAATTTAAATTGCCAACTAGATTTTATCCATTTTTGATTCTTACTTGCATTATGTATTTGTGAGTTGTAAGTGTATTTTAGGCCCTAAGGAGTGAGTTGATATTTTGTGAAATATATGATAGGGTCAAAATACTAATACAAGTAAGAGGAGAGCACATTATGTGTTGATTATGGATTATTTGATGAAAATGTACTTAAACCCTCCCTTGTAGGTTTTTGAGGATAAGGGGTTGCGCAGTGAAATTATAATTTATAAATGTTTATTGTGATATGATGTATTGCATGTAACACCCTCAAATTTACAAACCGATTTTTCGCAAGTTATTAATTCAAGAAATCATTTTTTTTTCATTGAACCCTTATCATACCCTTATCATGGTAGAAAAATTTCTACCATGATACATCCAAGACAATATACCACAGGTCTTAAAATATCTCAAAAAGCAATTAGAACCATGAGGGACAGACATGATCCTCATAGCATGTTATTTAAATTAGGTCATGAATCAAAAGGGACAGACATAATCCTCTTGGACATATAAATGCATTTAATAAAAAGGATTAGAGTTTACATGCTCCATAGACAAGATATGTCCTAAGTTGGCACAAGATACATTGTATAATCCAAAATAAGAGGCAACGTAAAAGATGGTGTCTCATACACCATAATTACACCTCTGGTGCTTTCTCGGCCGGATTCGCTCCTGTAAAAATATTAACCACGGGGAATGAGACTTAAAAGTCTCAGTAACCAAAAATTAATATGTAATGATGCATGCGGATGTAACTAATCATGCGATTGCTAAGTGGGCACACAAAACATTTAACCGAACAATATTTTCAAACAAACCGAACAAGTATTTAATTGCATGACTGCACCTTATATCCTCCTTTCACCATGCTCGGACGCCAAATCACCCGGCCAAAGGTGAGTTGGACCAAGCGACACGCCACTCATTGGGTCCAATGAGGGCTTACCACGTGGTAATAATTAACCGAACAGAAATTCCCATTAACACCATACATTAAAATACCCTGACAAGTCATGCATCATTCAAATATCCAAACAGGAATATATCCGAACAATAATATCTCATCATGATAAACAAAAATAAATTTTTAACCCACTTGGCAATAATTTCAAACAAGTATATACAGTATTTATTTTCAATAATTCATAATTTTTCCAAACAACAAAACAACACATAACCATTCACAAACACACTCATCACAACACATTAATAATGGTTACCTTGTGTCTTGAATAACAAGTTCCCCTTCACAACTCCTTTTCACCACTATCTTTGTCAATATAATCTACATAATTATTTCACAATACTATATATTAATTTTACATTAAAATAAATAACTCTAATTTAAAG